GTGGTTAGGGCTGGTGAGATACTCCACTTTTGTATCTCACTAACTAGAGATATTTCCTCAATCTTTTCATCAGAAAGGCTATCAAACTGGTTTATAAAAATCACAGCTTTCCAGGGCCGCCCACTAGATATTTGGCATTTGGAATTTTTTCCCACCTTACTACCACATAAAGGCCTTCAGGGTTATGAAATTGGCATCACTGTCTGGTTTTCCAAAGGATGGAAAATCCTTAAAGCCCAGATAAACATTAATAGACCTTTCAGGTATCAGTCTTGTCCCTTACAATTTCTCTTGCTCAGTAGACCAGCAAAGGAAAACTTTCACTGTTGTGGCATTCCTGGCCACAGGATGCCTTAGATAAATGGCTGTACATTGCAGTCAACCCAGAGAGAGATTTTTAGAAAATACTTCATGCCCAGGGCCTACCTTCAGAGAATATGATTTAATTGGTCTGGTTCCCAGGTCTTGGGAAATGGATAAAGCTTCTGTAGTTGACTCTAATAAACACCCAGGGTCAAGAACCGCTGCTATGGAAGACTACGATCAATACTTTCAAGACAAGATACTTAGTACAGCGGTATCAGAACAAAGCCACCAAGAGCAGGGTGGCCACAGCAAACACCAAACAAGCAGTGTTTTGTTCCAGTACAAAGTGCACAGGATTTCTGAGTCCTCTCCTGCCTCAGCCTTGAAAGCTTACACCGCCTAGACATCTTGTATTGACATCTTGTATCCCCCAAACATGCGCTGACCCACGCTTGCTGGACTTCACCAGCACCTGAGTGGCTTCCAGGGCAGAGGCATAAACTTCTGCATTCAGGAGTTATTGCCTAAGTGGGCCCTTCGTTGGGTTTCTCCTCTTGAAATTCCCCCACCCAACTGTAGACATGTGAAGAGGAGCTAAGCCGTTCTCATTCTGGAATTCCTTCCATTCCTTCTAGTTCCCATGTGTAGCACCAGAGCCTCCCCTCTGCCCAGCCAAAGAGAGTTCAGGCTTAGCAGCCTGCCTCCCATGAACCACCAGTGAGGTGAGAGGAGTTTGGAGGGAACCTCACCCCCCACCCTCTCAACACTCTTGCTTTTTCCTACTATACAGTGAATGGCCTCCAAGCTCGGACCTTTGGCATCTGGACCCTACTCTCATCAGTGATTCGCTGCCTCTGTGCCATCGACATCCACAACAAGACGTATGTAAGGGAAGAAAGAGCTTAAGCCTCCCTTGTTGGAAATCAGGTGCCAGGCATATCCAGTGTGCCCCTCCCCTTGGAGACCTGCTAATGTTCATACATTAGCCTAGAACATGGATAATAAAACGTTAATGGGTTCTATTCTTTCCAAGCCAAAAAAACATAATAGGCCTAACAGGTCTTTGAAGTTTGAAAATTCTTTGGAAGTCGGTAGCAACTGGCTATTACCATTGACCCAGTGGCCTGCAGCACATCCCTCCACTCCTTTACTAAAGAATCAGCCTTTCTCTGCTCCAGAAGTAGAGTAGTGTGCTCTTTTTAGAGCAGCCACCCACATATACCTTATTCTCACATTCCTCAAGAAGTAGGAATGACCAAAAATCACAATCCATGCGAAAAGGAACCCACAAGTAAACTGCTGTGCGCCTATGCAGAGTCCATATGTGAGGGTGAAAGAGAACCCAGGACTCCTAACATTTCTGCCTCTAGGGTCGTCACACTGCCGCGGACCATTTGCAGAGGGTCATAGCCTCCTGTCTACATAATGCTGTAACCGGTGCTGACCACTGGAGGGGGCTCGAGCTTCCTTTCCAACCGTCCTCACCACAACCAAAGTGGAAAGTTTGCTCCAGTCAGTGGCTAAGGCCACCAAAATACCAACCTCACACTAAAATGGTTTTCTGTCATATCCAAGCTCTCAGCATTTGGGAAAAGAGGAGGTGATGATATTTACCAAACACCTCTGATTATGCCAGGAGCTTTTATCCACATGACCTTGATTAAGTCTCCTAGCAGCCCTGGGAGATAATGGTTTTCATTCCTGATTTTGCAGATCTACATATTAGAGACCCAATTAATTTGAACTGAGGAAGGCCAACTCAAGTGGGATTTGAAGCAATGCTATTAACCCTGCGATCTCTCCCAACTTTTTAAATTTTTTTTTATTTTTATTTTTTGGAACTTGAAACTATAGTTTGACTTGTTCTAGATTGACATGTATTTTTGGAAGCAGTGTGGTTTAGTGGAAACAGCCTGGGGCCCAAGAATGAAAACAAGAAAATGGGCTCTTGTCTCAGTTCTCCTGGTAACTATTTTTGTAGCTGCAAGTTCATTATACGGTTGACCCTTGAACAACATGGGGATTAGGAACAGTGGCTCCCTATAGTTGAAAATCCACATATAACTTTTGACACCCCCCAGAACTTAACTACTAATGGCCTACTACTGACCAGAAGCCTTACTGATAAGAAAGTCGATTAATACATATTTTGTACATTATCTGTGTTATATATTGTATTCTTACAATAAAATAAGCCAGAGAAAAGGTTCTTAAGAAAATCATAAGGAAGAAAAAATACAGTACTGTACTGTATTTATCTTTAAAAATCCACATGTAGGGGCGCATGGGTCACTCGGTCAGTTAAGCATCCAACTCTTGATTTCAGCTCAGGTCAAGATCTCACAGTTCGTGAGATGAGCCCCCTACTGGGCCCTGGGCTAAGAGGGCAGAGCCTGCTTGGGATTCTGTCTCCCTGTCTCTGCCCTTCCCCTGCTTTCTCTCTCTGTCTCTCTCGAAATAAATATTTAAAGATCCACATATCACATAAAAGTGGACCCTTGCCGCTCAAACCCATTTTGTTCAAGGACCAGTTGTTCACTTTCTCGGCATCTTGGTCTCTTTATGTATAAGATGAAACCAGTATATCTGTTGTACCTCTCAAGGTGACTGGGAGGGAGTAAGAACTGACTAATTCCTTTAAAGACCTTTACGTGATAAAGAATTGCCAATAGGTGTAAGAGGTGTATCTTTCATTTGCTGTGCTTTTGGAATGAGACTTACCTTATCATCACCCATTCCTTTCCCCATCTTCCAACACAGGATAGCCACAAATGCCGACTTCTGTTTCTAGCCTTTTTTAGCCTGGGACGCTGGTCTGTGTTCTTCTGATCTACACTGGGATTCTATTGCCTTCCTAACCAGAAATTCAAATTCAGCACCCAAACATACGTATTTACTGACTGTATAAAAACATACACAGGAATGATAAAAATCAAATTTAACATATCAGTTCCTTCTGGGGAGGGAGGGAGGGGGGCTTGGGAAGGGGGTCCAGGTGGGATCCAGGGTCCCAGGGTCCCAGGGTCCAGGATACACAGAATGCTTTAACTGATTACGTGTAATATTTTGTTTCTTAGTAAAAGTATCTGAAGCAAAAATGTCAAAACATCCAGATTTGCTGGAGCAGGGTATTGGTTGCATACAGGTTAATTAGAATATTCTCTTATCAACAATGTTTTGTATGTTTAAAGTATTTCGTAATTTTAAAATTTTCATAGTTAAAAAAAGATATCTTCAATCCATGTGGTCAGTCGTCCTATAACCTCTTTTCCACCTGTTGGTCAAAACGGAGGAAAGAGTTCTCTTCCCATGAGATTATCACTGTGTCCTCCACCATTTTCCTAGGCTAAGATACTAAATAACCAGCCCACGTTGCAAGAGCGTCTAAAAGCCCCACAGAGGTCCTTGCTGCTCATGCCCCATTCAGGCCCTTCACTCTGTGGCATCCCTCGTATATACCTGCCAGGTGGGCGTGGACTACAGAGCCAAGTGAGTAGAATATGTAAGCGTGATTGATCTGAAACTGTCTATACTGCTAGGATTGCCATAACCCAGACTTGCTTTGCTGTAGCTGGCTTCACCACCTTGCCACGACTCAGAGACCCACTCTGGATGCCTGAACCGCACTCTCAGTCTAGCAGTGGAAACGTTCCATTTTGCCCTAGTAGAGGATAAATCGATGTGGCCGAGCAGATAGGTCTTTCTCTGGCCCAAGTCTCCTCTCCCTTTAGCCATAATCGCCTCCCTGGGTTGGCTTCTGTGTGTGCGGAGCCAGACCTCTACTCTTCCTCTGCGCCCCACAAGCATCGCCTCTGTTCTCATGTCTGTCTGCTCCCTTGTAGGCTGTACCACATCACACTCTGGACCTTCCTCCTCGCCCTGGGCCACTTCCTCTCCGAGCTGTTTGTCTTTGGGACCGCAGCTCCCACGATTGGCGTCCTGGCACCCCTGATGGTGGCAAGTAAGCATCCGAGCACCCCAGACCTCCCGCAGGAACTGCACCCTCGGGCTGGGGCAGAGGGCAGACACACAAGGGTGTAAGAAAGTGCCGTGCCTGTGTCAGCCACGAACCTTTTCTCTGTGTTGAAGGTTTCTCGATCCTGGGTATGCTAGTTGGGCTTCGGTACCTAGAAGTAGAACCAGTATCCAGACAGAAGAAGAGAAACTGAGGCCAACGTTACCAGCTCCAAGACTCCATCCTCCACCTTTGCTGTCCCCTACCTTTATCCTCCCTCCTCTTTTAGTTCTTCTTTTCTGCACCATCCTGAGCCCTCTGACCCCCTGCTAGCCTTTTACGTTTGGGGTTTTTCTTTAATAATGTTTACGATACCGTATAACTTTCATATGATGTGTACGAACAATTTAAAGAATCATTTTAAGGTGGATACCCCATACCTTCCCCCAGACCAAGAAATTGCCAGCACCTTCGAAACCCACTGTGTGCCCTTCCTTCACCAGCAGCCTCTTCCAGGACCCTTTTCCAGCCTTCTGCTTTTTCCCTTTTATTTTCATCCCTTCATCTGACTTGCGTGGTGGGAACACGTGAACTGTGAAACTTACAGCTGCTGCCTTGCCCAGAGCAGCAGCCTCCAAGGGCTGCTTCGGGGTTGCCCTCCCAGGTCGGGCTCCTCTCTGCTGCTGGACCCGAGACTCTGAACCATCCGAGAAACGGGCAGTTCTTCTAAGAAGGGCTCCCCTGTGAGTGAGCATGGCTCATATCCTTGTGTCTACAAGTGGATCGGGGTTGGAAGAGTCTGGGCTGTTTTTAGACCTTCTGGTCAGCTGTATTTGTGTAACGAATTTTGTAGTAAATAGAAAAACCCTGTGCTTGGATCAGTCCTTGTACTTTGACCTTCCCTAAGCCAGGAGCGCTCCTGCCCTCCTCTGAGCTGTAGCAGAGGAGAATCGCAGCATTTTGTGGATCAAATACACCATAATGAGTAGGACAGCTCAAGGACCCAGGCACACCTGGCTGCCGCTGGTGCGTCTGGTCACTTGTTCATTTCTCCTGAAGTCCAGTCTGCCTCTCCTTCCCCACCTTCAAGATTCTGTGTTCACAATTGAACGGTCAGGAGGACCCTTTCTTGTTTTCTTTCTAAGGAAGAAACAGTTTCTTGAGAAAGCAGAGTCAGAAAATAGCATGGAAGGAACAGCTGCCTAACCATGGAAAGGAGAGCTTGAAACCCCAATGATAATGGGCTGGAGCAGGTAGTTGCCCTCCAAACAGAATTCTGGGGGGCTCCTCACTGGCGGGGCCCACACGCAGTGTGTAGACTCAAGAACCCATTCATTACATCAACAAAGTATTTATTGAACATTTAACTCCAGGCCAGACACTTGAGAAAGAGAAATGATGTCCCAGGCAATGTCCCTGTTCCTGTGGCCCTTGCAGTGAAGTCAAGGTAATGGACAATCAATAAAGCAACACACGAAAACAACTTCAGACGCTAAGAACTCTAGAATACAAGGTTTTAGGGCGCTGGGTGGCTCAGTCGGTTAAGCGGCCGAGTTCAGCTCAGGTCATGATCTCACAGTTTGTGGGTTCGAGCCCTACATCGGGCTCTGTGCTGACAGAGCCTGGAGCCTGCTTCCAATTCTGTGTTTTCCTCTCTCTCTCTGCCCCTCCCCAGCTCACACTCTGTCTCTGTCTCTGTCTCTCTCAAAAATAAAATAAACATCAAAAAAAAAAATTTAGAATACAAAGTTTTATGATCAAGAAGGTAGGGGGTGCACAGTTCAGATTATCAGGAAAGGACTCCCTGAGGGGATGGGATTTGAGCTGAGCCTTGAATGCCCAGGCATTAGATGTCTTCATATAGGAGGCAGACATTTAGGGCAGAGGGAACAGCATCTGGAAGGTAGGAACCATCTTGTTGAAGGAGTAAAAACCAAGTAGAGAAGTTGGGAAGAGAAAGGTGAGCGGTCAGGGATGCAGGGGACTTGCAAAGGCAGGATAGGAAGCTTAAAGTTAAATACTTTAAGCTTAATACTTAAATGCACTGGGAATTCTCTATCAGTTAAGGCTTTTTAGGTGAAAAGAACAAAACTGTCTTAAACTAGCTTAAACAATAAAGATAACATTGGCTCACAAAATTGAAAAGTTCAGTGGATTATAGGCTTCAGGAATGGTTTGATCTGACTCCGCTCTGCCCTCCTGTGTTGGTTTCATCCTCAGGCTGGCTTCCTTTATGGTGCCAAAAGCGGTTGCAGCAATACCAGGCCTCACATGCCAACACTACGTCTAGAAAAATAGTTCAGGGATACAGACTATCCCTCCCTCGCCAACTACTGTTAAGGAGGTAGTAAAAGCAATGATTTTGCAGAGTTTGCATGTAAGTGTAGATCCACATGGAGCCCACCTAAGAAAGTGAATTGAAAACATGCATGAGTTGGATGCGGATCCTCTGAGCATACGTCATAGAAATGTGATTCCAGATGAGCAAAGACAAGATCCCAGAGGATCCAAAGAGACGATTTAGAGTAGTTGGAAGATATTATGAATATTCTATTTCTTTAACCGCCCGTCTTGGCTCCCTTCCGAGATGATTTAGAGTAGAATCCGTAATGTCTCTCCAGCTCAGAACTGCTAACAGATAATGGTCCCAGAATGCCACAGACACAGTGCAATTTCCAGGAAAGAGATGCACAGAAAGCCAATAGCAGCATGTCCAGATCACGGTACGGGGTGAACGCACCTGGGAAGGGAGAAGTGGCAGTTGGCCGGACAGATCAGAAGAAAAGTGGCAGCACCACAGCAGGTGCCGAAAGCGTGGACTCTGACCAGGGCAGGATGGTACATCCTAGAACAAATACTCCGGCCACGCTTTGCGGCAGAGCCAGAAACCACAGTGGGCTCTGGATCAGCCGTTACCCCGAGTGGACCGTCTGCAAATATACACAGCACAGAAGGCGGTCAGGGTCACGTGCTGGGCGCCGGGTTGCCAGGCACCACGTAGGCCAACGTTCACTTTTACTGCCTTGTCTTTAAAAAGTAACCCACTGGGATGGTAACATCTGCGTAAACAGAGGACCCACCTCCGCAGAAGGCCACAGGAGCTGCTCCTCTAGCCCCAGCCCCTCCCGCACCGGAAATGGGCAAGACTCTCATTCTTGTGCCAAAAGGCACCTCCGCCCCCACCTGATGACAAGGCGGACCACTCGGAGAATCTTTTATTGCCTTAAAACATCTGGCATTACAAAGAGAAAATACAAATTATGTTCTTAAAATAAAGGAACGAATGGATCTGGTAAACATTCTGTTAAAGAGTTTGAAGAAGCTGAAGAGTAAGCACCTTTCTCCTTATCAAAAGTAAGACACGCTTTCTCTCCACTTCGCTTCCACCCCCAATCACTCCCCCCACCAGAAGTGTGAACTTCTTCTATTACCCAGAACGTACACACACACACACACACACACACACACACACACACACACACACCTACCTGGCTCCCCTCAGGCAGTGGCCCGGGCACCCCGGCACTGCTGCCAACCGACCCAGGCTGCTCCCGTTTGCCAAGGCTGGGGCAGTGGCCACAGCGAAACAGCACCATGGTCATGATCACAGCTGTTCACCACGCAGGAGAAATTACTGAAATGTCTTATTTTCAGGGGACACCACCCAAGGCCATGAGTAGAGCCAGACAGCAGGCTAGGCAGGAGAGGAAGTCACCTTGGGTTGGTTTAAAGGGACTCCCTTTAAATTCACAATATCTGATTTAAAAAAAGATTACTGCTGGAAGAGGGCAGGAAGAGGGGGTGGGTGTAAGAATACTGTCCCCTCCGGAGGCAGGTGCACTTAATTCAAGCAGACTCACTTCCCATTTCAAGGGCCAGCTTTCCTTCTGCCCCTTTCCTCTCATCTCGCAGAAGCAGCTGTGGATTTCTCAGCGTGGGATGAATCAAGGTTAGCTCTCAGTAAAGGTTACAGGAAGTTGGCTGGGATTTCCCTCCCTTCAGAGAAAGCAAGTGAGGAGGCTGATGGAGTTTCTCAAGGTAGTGTCCACATGAAGGCATCAGAGGTGACTGTGACCCACACGGAAGTCCCTGGGCAGAGACTCTGTAGAAAAGAACTTAGTCCCAAATCAAGCTACCACGGTCCCCAACTGCCTTCACAGGTGCCCTCACACACTTAGGCAGCTCACTCTCCCAAATGGGTTTCTCCTTCATGGCCACA